AACTACCGTACTGAACGTTACTACCGTATTGGTACGTTAGTTTTGGGGATATTCCCCAAATCTTATCGTGAAGTCTCGGAAGGCATAAAACGCACTTGTAGCCTTGTTGTAACATTCGAGAGATGTGAGTTCCAACTGAGCCTTTTGTTCAGAGTTATTCCTAGATACTTCGCCTTTTCTGAGAACTCAATTTCTGTCCGTGCCAAGGTGGATATAGTCAAGTCCACTATCCTTATTTTGGTAAATGGGACAATGAGTTCATTGACAAGCCTTTTTCAAGTGTTTGGAGATACATATTTTCTACTTTTCGCAAATAACTAGTTTTGTGGTGAAACCTACCAAGATCCAATCTAGCCTACCAACCTACCCAATGGAAATAAACCTACCGGTTTTGGTAGGAAAATCCCATGTGTGGCAACACTGAGGCGTACCCCAAGGAAGCGTTGTGAGCCCAATCCTATAATTACTCTATACATATACCTCCCTGCTTCAGAAAGAATCACCGCCGGCACCTTTGCTTATGAAACTGCTGTTTTATCAATGGATACCGATCCTAATTAGGCTTCACTGCAGGTAGGCTTAAAAAACATAGCTCTCTGGCTAAAAGTTAGGCGAATAAAGTCCATTGAGTCAAAAACTGTCATTCTTGGTCGTAAATCTCGTTAGTNCCAGATCTGACTTTTTTGCGGTCATCGCCCCACAAAAGTAGTTAGCTTTTTTCGAACAAAATACACAGTTAAAAGTTAGCACTAGTGTTCGCGTAAACAGACTAAAGTTAGGTATAAGCTAACGTCACTCCCTGTAGGGTACCGACCATATAGCCAATGATCAAAGCTTGACAGTCCAAAACGATGGCGAGTTATGAGGGATCTTTTCAACTTTGCCGTCACTTGAATAGCAAATATCTCAGAATGTAGTAGTTCTGGCATACGCCTGGGATCGAAAGTAATGCAACCTTTTGGTCCAGTCCTAGGTGTTTGGAATACTTATTAGGAATTGCATGCCAAAGTCGATTTGCGTCATAGAGTCAGAAAGCTATCAAACTCAATGAAAGGGTGCCAACCAAATATTTTACTTGTATTGCTTTAACAACATTTCCTTTCTATACTGTCGTGATAAGATATATTTTAATATATTTTAATTATAATCAACTACTTCACGGTCAATTCGACAGCCCAATGTCACAATTTTCTATCAACCCCTTCATTAAAAACACGTGCATTTCAATGTTAACACGCTAAACTCCAATCAATGGAATCATTCATTGATTTTGCCTCAAATAAAATGCGCCTATAATATTTTGTGCAAAGCAAGGCAATCAAAAAGTTACATTTCATTTCACTCACTGATTGCCGCCATTCGAGGTAAATACTTGTACATATATTGGCAGATCTACCTAGGCATGTACATACGCATGCTTTGTAGGGAAAATGTTATTTGGTATAACTAGTTTCTGGATCTGAACAAGGACGACGTAATGCATTCGACCCCCTTGGATTCAGCTGTCAAATATTGCAATCAGATTTCGAAATATCAAAACGCAAATAACTAGCCAGATGCAAAAAATGTCGGCATGATTTTCAGTTTTTATGCCGGTTGCACATTCATTTACAAAATTTCTTTATAAAAAAATTTACTAAATGGTCAATTTCAAAACTTTCCATTAAATGATGTGGTTAATTCGTAAGTATCTTACATTAAGAAAAGTATCAACGTGAAGTAGGCATGTTCATAAATTTTCCTACATGGCATGCATTTACATATGTATGTATGTACACCCACACTGCATGGGTATATGTATATCGGATTGAGGAATTGCAGAGCATAGCATAATTTTTCATGCTGTGATTTTAGGCGCCAGAGCGTCGAAAAAGTACATGAATGCATATGTTTGTCTAAATGTAAGTAAATACACACACGCATTACATATGTAGATGTATACGTACATAAGTATGTATCCATGCAAAGTCGATTTTGGCCACAATCGATGTAAACTTGGCGCGCCAAAGTGTCGTAATCAAATTTATAGGAAAACGTAATTTACTGCAGTTTGTCGCTATTCATGGTTGTTTTATTTTTAAGAAATCGAATTCACTTTTGTAGCTAAGATTAATGTGGCTATTTCCATTAGATAACGACTACATGGTTATTTAAGTTGTTGATATTTTTAGTGCTGGCTGGCATGCAATCATATCGCACGTCATAAAATTTTCAAGGTCAAGGAAGTAGGAATCACGAAATTATTTAGAGTTCTTTGGCATCAAGTTTGTGTTTTAGTTTTTCATTTACTTACATAATATGTGTATGTGCATTAGGGTGTTAAAAAAAAGGGAATTTTAATGCTCTCTCCCCTTGGATTGTTCTTTTCAGTAAAAAAATTAAAACCCTATATGGTATATAATTCTTGAAAATCAGTATTTTTCGATCGGATAACGACTAGACATGTTAAACATTTTAAATAAATTCAACTTAAAGTTTAATGCATTTAAATTAAAATTTGTAACTTCGGAATAAGTGTTGTATAGTTGGATGCATCTTGATATCGGCACATTTAATGCATAATTAGATTTATGTGCAGCGACTGTAAAAATTTTAACATGCCTCAATTCACCTTTGGGATAATGGAGGTTTAGCAAATCGTAAATATCACTATAGTCTGCGAAACCATTAAGGATATTGTATATAAACATTACTGAAAAGTAACTTCTTCTTTCAGATAAGCTCTGTAGGTCTAACAGTTTACGTCTACCTAAATAATCGGGACATCCATTTTGCCAATGAAGTTTGGATAATGCAAACTTAGTGAAAGTTCTTTGCACTCTTTCTATTTTATTTGAATGAGTTTGGTAGTAAGGGTTCCAAATTATACAACAATACTCTAGGGCACTATGCTCCAACGAAACATACAGCGATTTTAATGTCATTGGTTCAGCCAAATCTTCGGAATTCCTAAGAATAAATCCAATCAGTGAAAATACTTAGGATTGCATATTGCAATTGCATATTTTTTGGGGTTTCTGTGGGGGGGTATATAAAAAATAGTTAATATTAAAATATTATTATATAAAAAATTGGGTATTATATTTGTAAGTCTCCTAAAAAGAAACGGAGCAATCCGATCGAAATATATTGGTTTAAATGAAATCTATACTATTTCCACGAAAAATTGTTTTTTCCCCCATATCAAATACAAGGAAAACTTTAAACGCTATGAGCGACATCTATTTTTTGATTTCGAAATAAAAAACGAGGGTATACTTTTTTATATCCTAGGGGTGAGAGCATTAAAAATCCGACTTTAATTTTTCACATGCATTTTTGGACCACCTTAATGTACATGCATACGTATGCAAAGTGCTAAAGGCGCTAGATTATCCTACTTTGATATTTACCCAAATTTTGAGAAGTACTCGCATATTGGGCCATCTGCACAAAACATTGGCAAATGCTTTGAGTTAAAATTTTAGACCTTTAATCGATTTGTTCAAATAAATTTAATTTAAATTTTAAGAAAAAGCAATTGCTTAGTTTTAATGCATAGGGACCTTTGACTTTTATCTACGACAGGGGTTCCCGAACTTTTAAGATGATGATATGAAATTATTGAAAATCAAGCGCAGTATAATTTAAATATGAATAAAAACTTTTACTAAAACAGTACACATACTTTAAATTTTAATGTGAAATTGTTCCACTATTATTAATTACAGCTTTATAATTCGATAGCCTTTTAAGCGAATTCACGGTATTCACTCCTAACACTAACCCAAAACTAGTTCAGAGACTCAGATAAAAATGTATGTTTCAATGTTGAAGTACTCGAAAGATCTATGAATGCTTCGTAAATGGATTTCGTATCCAATTCACGATTTAGCTTTCCCTGATGCCATATATACTTATTTGTTGTTTCCTTTTTTTGCCTTTTTTAAGATATTTGCCTTTTTTACCAATAATTGTAAAGGACAAGGAAAAATATGAAAGTTTTGAATATTCCTTATTTAAATTCGGCGCCACTATTGGTATGTACAGTCAAGGCTTATTTTCTCGAAAATCGAATGAAAATTCTGCCAGAAAACTTCAGAATACATCTTGTGGTTCAATGTTACTACAACTATAGAGACTAAGGTTTTGTGAGTTAAAAACGCAACAGGATAAAATAGTCAAATATCCAAAGAACAAATTTTTCATATAATGAAACTGGTTCATAGTTTTCCTCTTTTTACTTGTAAAATAAACATTTCTAAATTAAATTTGTTTTCTGATTAAATTTCGGTTTTTGTCTTTTTTGCTGCCTATTCCGTTATCTTATTTTGCCTTTTTTATAGGTTTTTATAATAATAATAATATAATAGATTGGCGCTTACACATATGTTAGTGTTTGGCCGAGCTTCTCCTCCGACTTGTGGCGTGCGCCTTGATATTGTCACACAAAGCGGAGGGACCTACAGTTTTACGCCGACTCCGAACGGCGATTGTATTTTTATGAGAAGCTGTTTTTTCATGGCAGAAATACACTCGGAGGTTTGCCATTGCCTGCCGAGGGACGACCGCTGTTAAGAAAAAACCTTTTTCTATATTTTTTGGGATGTTGCTTTGACCAGGGCTTGAACCCAGGTGCTGATGTGTGAAAGCGCGCACTGCTTACCACTACACCACAGCGGCCGGTTTTTAGGTCCTTAAAATCCGTTCTCTGGTGATAAGTCTTCAAAATGAAGTCTCTTACTCCTTAATTTTAGGGGACTTTAATTTTTAACTTTGTCACATTTGAAAACGATATATGTAAATTAGTTAGTTCTGCTATCGGCCTCATATTGCAATTTTTATTTTAGCCACTTGAAAATCGAACCCCTCGTCCAAATTAAGGCAAAACTAACCCATTATACTTATGATTTGCAAATTGCAATATTTTCACTACTACAACTGAACAACAAATCTTACTTATGTATGTGTATATTCTATCAATCAAAGTCTGATTTTCTTTTATTTATAATTTCTTTTAGGTGCATGTCAGTAAATCCCGATTGCTGAACGGAGAGGATGACAGCTGCAGTTATGGCTACCGATACGAATTGGGATCCCGGTAAATAGAAAATGAATACATATGTATACGAAATCTTAGGTATCATGCCAGGACAGGACAGCAAGATAAGCCTATATAAAATAAAGTTTGTTGTAGTAATATAAGAAAGAATAATAAATACAGTATTTTACTGATTTATTCATTGTACCTACTAACTTAGAAGGTGTGCTCCGGGCTGTTACCGTTTCGATGCTAAATAGTAATGCCTTTTAAGCAGTATCTAAATCGTTTTCGAATTTCAGTTAGGCTTCTCTGGCTCTGAAGGCCTGCAATGTAAAATAATGTCAGTAAAATTGTACATCTTTGCATTTGCACAATGTTCATACCATAAAAAAAAAAATCCACTGATTCTTAAACTAAACTCCAATGTCATTCATTTATCACATGTACGACTTTTCCTTATATGTATGTATGTATGTATCTATGAAGAACCCCATATTCTTATTGTGTGTCGAAGCGTCAAGCTGATTCTTGATTCACTTCATTTATGAAATGACCCACACCCCGCTGGCAACAACTCTATACATCCTCTGTGTTGTTGTATAAATGTTGCTATTTGAATAATATTTTTCTTTTTTTTTTGTCTTTGCTGAAACTACGTAGCGCTTTCGAAACTCATTACATCACTAAAGGAGGCGGAAAATCTCTCCAATGACCAGGAAATCGATTTCCTTAAAGCGCTACTCGAATCGAAGGAACTGAATGCGCTCGTCAATGTGCACACCAAAGTGGCCAAAGTGGGTCGAGACGATCGACTGGCGCCGGTGCTCTCCACATCCGGACAGGTAAGTTGATGCAGGTGTTCAGACATATCCATACATATAAATACTACATATCGCTCATTTACTTCAATAGTGTCGTAACTCAAAAAAGGGAAACCCGAAAAAACTGTTTTAAGGTTTTGAATTTACATATACTCCCATAGTAAAAATTAGTACTTATTTTGTTCTAGTGAGATACTGGTAATAGCTACAGCTATGAAGCGGTAGAAGAAGAGGTAGCGGTGATGTCTAAATACATAGCTCAATATTTGTATTTTTTGAGTTATGACACTATTGAAGTAAATGAGCGATATGTATACGAATGCATGTATTCATGGGAAGATGGGCTCATGTATATATGTATATGTACACTAGGGTGGCCCAAAAAAGTTTTTCTAACGGGTAAAAGAATACATAGTTTTGATAAAAAAATATATTAGAACTGCTCAAAGTCCATGAAGTTTTCCATGTATTTTATACCTATGGAATTCTTTAAAATCAATACTTTTCGATCGAGAAACTCTGTTTCTCTTCAGGAGACTTCTAATAATAAAACCCAATTGTTCATTTTACCAGTTTTTAATACAAGCGACTTTTTCTGAGTCCTCCCGTTGCATTTTTTTGCTATAAAAAATCTTGGTATTAAAAAATTGTTAAATAAACAATTGGGTATTGTGATTGAAAGTCTGCTAAAGAGACACCGAGTTTCCTGATCGAAAGAGAAACCGAATTTTCTACGAAAAATTGTTTTTTGAGGCAGTTCTAAATATGCATATTTTTTAACAAAAAAATACCGGTGTACTTTTTTCCATTTACAAAAATCATAGGGGGTAAGAACTTAGCATTTTAATTTTTTAGCATGTATTTTTTGACCACCCTTAAGTATACTCGTGGCCACACAAACATTACCACCACTTTTTCTTTTTTGATTGGTAGGATGTTGTAAATTTATAAAAAATAAAATTTGTTTGAATGTAGTTCAAACCGCCACAAAAACTATATAAATTTAAGTTTTAAACTTTGTACAAAATTTAGAAAAATTAAAAAAAAAAATTCAAACTTCTTAATACAAATTTTTTGGAAAATTTCAGGTAGGAGCCCATTTAATTTTAGTATAATAATGTTTGCAACTGTTGCTCAAAATTCTCGGTGAATTTTCAAAATTTTTTTTGCCGACAGTCTTGTGTAGTTTTTTCCATGTAAAGAATGCTTTTTGTATGGAAAAAATGCTCAACATCGTATGGAAAAAATATATTTCAAAAATCAACCAGAAATTTGAGCTATTTCAAACTCACACTTTCTTGTACTAAAATTAACTGCATACCCGAAATTTCCCTACAAAATTTTATTAAATAGTTTGAACTTTAGTAAAAATTTGATGAATTTTTCTAAATTTTGTGCAAAGTTTCAAACTTTTATTTATGTACTTATGTACATGTATGAGTTATGACACTATTGAAGTAAATGAGCGATATGTATACGAATGCATGTATTCATGGGAAGATGGGCTCATGTATATATGTATATGTACACTAGGGTGGCCCAAAAAAGTTTTTCTAACGGGTAAAAGAATACATAGTTTTGATAAAAAAATATATTAGAACTGCTCAAAGTCCATGAAGTTTTCCATGTATTTTATACCTATGGAATTCTTTAAAATCAATACTTTTCGATCGAGAAACTCTGTTTCTCTTCAGGAGACTTCTAATAATAAAACCCAATTGTTCATTTTACCAGTTTTTAATACAAGCGACTTTTTCTGAGTCCTCCCGTTGCATTTTTTTGCTATAAAAAATCTTGGTATTAAAAAATTGTTAAATAAACAATTGGGTATTGTGATTGAAAGTCTGCTAAAGAGACACCGAGTTTCCTGATCGAAAGAGAAACCGAATTTTCTACGAAAAATTGTTTTTTGAGGCAGTTCTAAATATGCATATTTTTTAACAAAAAAATACCGGTGTACTTTTTTCCATTTACAAAAATCATAGGGGGTAAGAACTTAGCATTTTAATTTTTTAGCATGTATTTTTTGACCACCCTTAAGTATACTCGTGGCCACACAAACATTACCACCACTTTTTCTTTTTTGATTGGTAGGATGTTGTAAATTTATAAAAAATAAAATTTGTTTGAATGTAGTTCAAACCGCCACAAAAACTATATAAATTTAAGTTTTAAACTTTGTACAAAATTTAGAAAAATTAAAAAAAAAAATTCAAACTTCTTAATACAAATTTTTTGGAAAATTTCAGGTAGGAGCCCATTTAATTTTAGTATAATAATGTTTGCAACTGTTGCTCAAAATTCTCGGTGAATTTTCAAAATTTTTTTTGCCGACAGTCTTGTGTAGTTTTTTCCATGTAAAGAATGCTTTTTGTATGGAAAAAATGCTCAACATCGTATGGAAAAAATATATTTCAAAAATCAACCAGAAATTTGAGCTATTTCAAACTCACACTTTCTTGTACTAAAATTAACTGCATACCCGAAATTTCCCTACAAAATTTTATTAAATAGTTTGAACTTTAGTAAAAATTTGATGAATTTTTCTAAATTTTGTGCAAAGTTTCAAACTTTTATTTATGTACTTATGTACATGTATGAGTTATGACACTATTGAAGTAAATGAGCGATATGTATACGAATGCATGTATTCATGGGAAGATGGGCTCATGTATATATGTATATGTACACTAGGGTGGCCCAAAAAAGTTTTTCTAACGGGTAAAAGAATACATAGTTTTGATAAAAAAATATATTAGAACTGCTCAAAGTCCATGAAGTTTTCCATGTATTTTATACCTATGGAATTCTTTAAAATCAATACTTTTCGATCGAGAAACTCTGTTTCTCTTCAGGAGACTTCTAATAATAAAACCCAATTGTTCATTTTACCAGTTTTTAATACAAGCGACTTTTTCTGAGTCCTCCCGTTGCATTTTTTTGCTATAAAAAATCTTGGTATTAAAAAATTGTTAAATAAACAATTGGGTATTGTGATTGAAAGTCTGCTAAAGAGACACCGAGTTTCCTGATCGAAAGAGAAACCGAATTTTCTACGAAAAATTGTTTTTTGAGGCAGTTCTAAATATGCATATTTTTTAACAAAAAAATACCGGTGTACTTTTTTCCATTTACAAAAATCATAGGGGGTAAGAACTTAGCATTTTAATTTTTTAGCATGTATTTTTTGACCACCCTTAAGTATACTCGTGGCCACACAAACATTACCACCACTTTTTCTTTTTTGATTGGTAGGATGTTGTAAATTTATAAAAAATAAAATTTGTTTGAATGTAGTTCAAACCGCCACAAAAACTATATAAATTTAAGTTTTAAACTTTGTACAAAATTTAGAAAAATTAAAAAAAAAAATTCAAACTTCTTAATACAAATTTTTTGGAAAATTTCAGGTAGGAGCCCATTTAATTTTAGTATAATAATGTTTGCAACTGTTGCTCAAAATTCTCGGTGAATTTTCAAAATTTTTTTTGCCGACAGTCTTGTGTAGTTTTTTCCATGTAAAGAATGCTTTTTGTATGGAAAAAATGCTCAACATCGTATGGAAAAAATATATTTCAAAAATCAACCAGAAATTTGAGCTATTTCAAACTCACACTTTCTTGTACTAAAATTAACTGCATACCCGAAATTTCCCTACAAAATTTTATTAAATAGTTTGAACTTTAGTAAAAATTTGATGAATTTTTCTAAATTTTGTGCAAAGTTTCAAACTTTTATTTATGTACTTATGTACATGTATGAGTTATGACACTATTGAAGTAAATGAGCGATATGTATACGAATGCATGTATTCATGGGAAGATGGGCTCATGTATATATGTATATGTACACTAGGGTGGCCCAAAAAAGTTTTTCTAACGGGTAAAAGAATACATAGTTTTGATAAAAAAATATATTAGAACTGCTCAAAGTCCATGAAGTTTTCCATGTATTTTATACCTATGGAATTCTTTAAAATCAATACTTTTCGATCGAGAAACTCTGTTTCTCTTCAGGAGACTTCTAATAATAAAACCCAATTGTTCATTTTACCAGTTTTTAATACAAGCGACTTTTTCTGAGTCCTCCCGTTGCATTTTTTTGCTATAAAAAATCTTGGTATTAAAAAATTGTTAAATAAACAATTGGGTATTGTGATTGAAAGTCTGCTAAAGAGACACCGAGTTTCCTGATCGAAAGAGAAACCGAATTTTCTACGAAAAATTGTTTTTTGAGGCAGTTCTAAATATGCATATTTTTTAACAAAAAAATACCGGTGTACTTTTTTCCATTTACAAAAATCATAGGGGGTAAGAACTTAGCATTTTAATTTTTTAGCATGTATTTTTTGACCACCCTTAAGTATACTCGTGGCCACACAAACATTACCACCACTTTTTCTTTTTTGATTGGTAGGATGTTGTAAATTTATAAAAAATAAAATTTGTTTGAATGTAGTTCAAACCGCCACAAAAACTATATAAATTTAAGTTTTAAACTTTGTACAAAATTTAGAAAAATTAAAAAAAAAAATTCAAACTTCTTAATACAAATTTTTTGGAAAATTTCAGGTAGGAGCCCATTTAATTTTAGTATAATAATGTTTGCAACTGTTGCTCAAAATTCTCGGTGAATTTTCAAAATTTTTTTTGCCGACAGTCTTGTGTAGTTTTTTCCATGTAAAGAATGCTTTTTGTATGGAAAAAATGCTCAACATCGTATGGAAAAAATATATTTCAAAAATCAACCAGAAATTTGAGCTATTTCAAACTCACACTTTCTTGTACTAAAATTAACTGCATACCCGAAATTTCCCTACAAAATTTTATTAAATAGTTTGAACTTTAGTAAAAATTTGATGAATTTTTCTAAATTTTGTGCAAAGTTTCAAACTTTTATTTATGTACTTATGTACATGTATGAGTTATGACACTATTGAAGTAAATGAGCGATATGTATACGAATGCATGTATTCATGGGAAGATGGGCTCATGTATATATGTATATGTACACTAGGGTGGCCCAAAAAAGTTTTTCTAACGGGTAAAAGAATACATAGTTTTGATAAAAAAATATATTAGAACTGCTCAAAGTCCATGAAGTTTTCCATGTATTTTATACCTATGGAATTCTTTAAAATCAATACTTTTCGATCGAGAAACTCTGTTTCTCTTCAGGAGACTTCTAATAATAAAACCCAATTGTTCATTTTACCAGTTTTTAATACAAGCGACTTTTTCTGAGTCCTCCCGTTGCATTTTTTTGCTATAAAAAATCTTGGTATTAAAAAATTGTTAAATAAACAATTGGGTATTGTGATTGAAAGTCTGCTAAAGAGACACCGAGTTTCCTGATCGAAAGAGAAACCGAATTTTCTACGAAAAATTGTTTTTTGAGGCAGTTCTAAATATGCATATTTTTTAACAAAAAAATACCGGTGTACTTTTTTCCATTTACAAAAATCATAGGGGGTAAGAACTTAGCATTTTAATTTTTTAGCATGTATTTTTTGACCACCCTTAAGTATACTCGTGGCCACACAAACATTACCACCACTTTTTCTTTTTTGATTGGTAGGATGTTGTAAATTTATAAAAAATAAAATTTGTTTGAATGTAGTTCAAACCGCCACAAAAACTATATAAATTTAAGTTTTAAACTTTGTACAAAATTTAGAAAAATTAAAAAAAAAAATTCAAACTTCTTAATACAAATTTTTTGGAAAATTTCAGGTAGGAGCCCATTTAATTTTAGTATAATAATGTTTGCAACTGTTGCTCAAAATTCTCGGTGAATTTTCAAAATTTTTTTTGCCGACAGTCTTGTGTAGTTTTTTCCATGTAAAGAATGCTTTTTGTATGGAAAAAATGCTCAACATCGTATGGAAAAAATATATTTCAAAAATCAACCAGAAATTTGAGCTATTTCAAACTCACACTTTCTTGTACTAAAATTAACTGCATACCCGAAATTTCCCTACAAAATTTTATTAAATAGTTTGAACTTTAGTAAAAATTTGATGAATTTTTCTAAATTTTGTGCAAAGTTTCAAACTTTTATTTATGTACTTATGTACATGTATGAGTTATGACACTATTGAAGTAAATGAGCGATATGTATACGAATGCATGTATTCATGGGAAGATGGGCTCATGTATATATGTATATGTACACTAGGGTGGCCCAAAAAAGTTTTTCTAACGGGTAAAAGAATACATAGTTTTGATAAAAAAATATATTAGAACTGCTCAAAGTCCATGAAGTTTTCCATGTATTTTATACCTATGGAATTCTTTAAAATCAATACTTTTCGATCGAGAAACTCTGTTTCTCTTCAGGAGACTTCTAATAATAAAACCCAATTGTTCATTTTACCAGTTTTTAATACAAGCGACTTTTTCTGAGTCCTCCCGTTGCATTTTTTTGCTATAAAAAATCTTGGTATTAAAAAATTGTTAAATAAACAATTGGGTATTGTGATTGAAAGTCTGCTAAAGAGACACCGAGTTTCCTGATCGAAAGAGAAACCGAATTTTCTACGAAAAATTGTTTTTTGAGGCAGTTCTAAATATGCATATTTTTTAACAAAAAAATACCGGTGTACTTTTTTCCATTTACAAAAATCATAGGGGGTAAGAACTTAGCATTTTAATTTTTTAGCATGTATTTTTTGACCACCCTTAAGTATACTCGTGGCCACACAAACATTACCACCACTTTTTCTTTTTTGATTGGTAGGATGTTGTAAATTTATAAAAAATAAAATTTGTTTGAATGTAGTTCAAACCGCCACAAAAACTATATAAATTTAAGTTTTAAACTTTGTACAAAATTTAGAAAAATTAAAAAAAAAAATTCAAACTTCTTAATACAAATTTTTTGGAAAATTTCAGGTAGGAGCCCATTTAATTTTAGTATAATAATGTTTGCAACTGTTGCTCAAAATTCTCGGTGAATTTTCAAAATTTTTTTTGCCGACAGTCTTGTGTAGTTTTTTCCATGTAAAGAATGCTTTTTGTATGGAAAAAATGCTCAACATCGTATGGAAAAAATATATTTCAAAAATCAACCAGAAATTTGAGCTATTTCAAACTCACACTTTCTTGTACTAAAATTAACTGCATACCCGAAATTTCCCTACAAAATTTTATTAAATAGTTTGAACTTTAGTAAAAATTTGATGAATTTTTCTAAATTTTGTGCAAAGTTTCAAACTTTTATTTATGTACTTATGTACTTTTTGTTGCGGTTTTAACTAAATATAATAAAAAGAAAATGTTTCATTCCTTTACAAAATTATACGAAATTTCTTAGAAAGAGTGGTGTTAAGGTTTCCATACGTGGCCACGAGTGTAGTTATTTGCAAAAGTGTTGGTGTTTATTTAAATTTCCTCATTGCTTTTGCTGCTGCAGATATTGTACGAAGTGCTGGAGCAGCTATCACAACGCTGCCACCTGAGCGAGGAGTGCAAAGAGGCCTTTCATTTGTTGCAAGAATCCCATTTACAGGTACAATTTGCAATTATTTACAGTTTTGAAGCAGTTTATGTATATAGATATGTATGTATATGTATGCAACCACATACACATGTTTGTTTGACTTTCTATAGAGCCTTTTGTATGCTCACGATGCCATTGCGCAGAAGGACTTCTATCCACATCTGCCGGAAATACCGATTGAAATGGACGAAGATGAGGAAACAATTAAAATTGTGCAGCTGGTGAAAAGCAATGAGCCATTGGTAAGTACATTGTTGATTTTATTGGGTCAATTTTATACCACAAAAATTATGGAAAACGAAAACGCTGTTAGTCATCTCAAACACACGTCACGGCAAAAAGGCAAGAAACCCATCAAGACCAGCTTAATCATCGTTATATTTATTCTAATGTATCACAGTTTGATATCATTATCGTCAAGACTACTATTGACGCAGTCATTTTTTTCTTTTTCGTTGCGTAGTTGCGCACAAACACTTTCAAAAACAATAACAGTCACAAACATAAACTACTTGCAATATACATACTTAAATAGTTAGTAAATTCCTGAGAAAAAAGTATATACTCACAACTAGCTTTGCTTACAATCAATCACCTCATGCTTTTTTGTTTTATCGATTTTTTTTAATATTTTATTTATTTTTAGACAAAACTAACTATACGCTTTCAATTAATAATTGATTTGACTCATTTGTAGCAATTTTTAGAACTTGATTAGATTTTGTGCCAAAACAAACGGTTTATATATAAATATTTACTTACGATATACATTCATTTTTCTTTCGTATATAGTCTCATTTAATGCTTGAAAGTAGAAACTAAACCCATACTAGTTTAAATCTTAAAACTGGAAAAAATTGTATCACCTAAAAATTGGGCATACAAAGTTGGTTGTTTAAAAACTGGACATAATTTTTTTATCATAAACATTTTTGCTTCATTTACAATTGGAATAGTTTTTTGGCCACTAAAAACAGATAACAATTTATTTCGTCATTCATTTACTAGACATGGAAATACAGTTTTGGTGCCTTTAAAAGTGGACATAATTTGTTCGTCACTAAAAACTGGGAAAATTTGTTTCCTCATTCATAATTTGCACATCCTTTTTTTGGCCACTAAAAACTGGAAATAATTTTTAGTGTACCTGCAATTACTGTCACTGTGTGCGTGCGAACAAGTCGTGTATGTAAACGCGAATACGACGCGCAGTCGCACGCCGGTCAGCTGTGCCCTACAGATTTCTTGCCTTTCCCTGCCCATCGTATATCTTGGATGGCAGTGATGTCAAAAGGTACGCACTTTCTTCTGTTGGATTGGCTACTTTTTCGACACTGTGCGACAGAGCTATTGAGCAGTAACCGAATAAATAAGAGAGAGAATCTTCATATTAAATAACAGTTAGGCTGCGATAAAGGCACCGTTCTTCAACCACTGGCACGGACGTACACTTGTACTGGGTTCCGGGGCACACCAGCATTACGGGCAACAAGAAAGCCAGCTGGATTACGTGCAGAGCATATGATAACAAGATGCCTGAATTATTTCGCCCAAAGGTGATACGGGTTTCGGGACACAGCGACACAGAGGGAAATTATAAGGAAGACGAACAGGCATGATTTGGCATAAGACTCAAATATTTGTGAGGATATAAATGACGAAATAGGAATACTCTTACAAACTTGTAAGCTACTTTTCTCGGTGAGGCTTGCTAAAGTAGCGAGCGGCAGGTGGCTTGACGAAATCACCTTAAAAACTGCCAAAGAATTGTGGCCGGTGCTCAGCGCTAAACACACTGACCTAGACTCAGAAAAAATCCAACAAAATATATTTCTCTCAGCGCATGATTTGGTAACTATAACGAAATCTTGAAGGACCATAGATGCGAGGAAATCAGAGATCTTCTAATAATTATGCAAAGTTCAAAATGATTTTAGGAGGGATTGGGAGTTGCTGACCTCACATGAAGCATCACAATGGGCCCTGGGCATAAGTGTGTCTTATAGATGACCGCGACAACCAAACCTAACTTAATGTGGTCGTAGTTATCAGTTAGTGGCTAGTCGCTTAGCCCAAGTAAAGAAAGTAAAATAGTCAACGAATAATTAGTCATAAAACACTGAAGAGTAAAAAGTGAATATATTATATTTATTGTTTATTTTCATTCATACGCTATATAGTAGTACCTTTCAACAAAGTCCATTCCGTATGTTCAGTTGAAAGAAAAATATGTGCAGTTTTCAAATCGCCAGAAATTTATCTTCAGTGTTTCAATAACCATAAATTATTCTAAATATTTAAATGGAAAAGAGTGTGTCCAGTACTGAGGTAACCAAACATGTACATACATGTTTTTACTTTCAAGCTTTCTTTTGTTATTCACCCATCAATTTGTCATTATCTACACTCTCTCTCGCAGCTTAACCCTGTACAGTTCTATATTTTTCAATCTTTAATTCCCTCTCTGTCTTGTAGCATATACACATCCTTTTTCCATGGTGCTTAATTTTCTTAACAATTTTATAAATATTTAGAGAAACAATAAAACTATCCACTCACTCATTTTTCCTTAGCCAAAGAAACTTTTTTATGAAAATGAATTCACCACACTTTTCATCATGACCTTTTATTGACTTGTAAAAAATTTAAATATGTGTTATTTGCATATATGTATGTAGGTATGTACATACTTTTTCCAGTTAATATACTGCCACCATTCTAATTTGCTAGTGTAAAATGCTCATCAAAAATTGTTTAATATTCTTTATGTATTTACAATATCTGCATAAGTGCATATTGTAAAAAACCTGCAAAAAATCGCAATTTTTTATTATCAAAATTTGTACTTCGTGTATTTCACACACACTTTCTCTCTCACTTCAAACCACAGTCCGGAGCACAAAGTGCGGAACCGATTGTTGTAAGTAAATGTCCTTTAAGCAAAAAATGTGTATATGTAATTTAATATTCATACGTACACGCATACATACATATCGATGTTTGTTCTTGCTAATTTTCGCTGTATTTTATAATTATTACATATACATACATACATACTTATTAAATGATATGTAGGTGTACATACTTTGTAACCTTATATGCACCACCAACAATGACACTTCATATGAGTACTGGCATTAGTGTTTTTTTCCTTATTTAAGTAATTTTTCTTCACACAAAAACAAAAATACATACCTACAAAACACATGTAAATATACTTATGTACATACATATGTATTTATGTACATATAAAGATGGAAATATTTCCATCATAAGTGCCTACAGATAATTAGGTATATAAAATTCAGAAAAGAATGAACCAAATGAAAATAGTTTCGGAGCTCTTCTCTTCAAATACACAATCGAAATGCTTAAAAATCCAAACCAATATGAGACCAAAAACTTCGGGAATGTTTTCACAAGAATGAAAGTGAGAACAAAACTGTCGACAACGTTCTCAGTGGGTATTAGAACAAAACCCTGTGCAACGTTCCAAATAGAAACAGATACGAACAATACTCCGGGAACATTTCTAAGAGCACAAAAAGTCTCCGGATAGTTTTGGCCAAGGCATAACAAGGTAGAAGTGATTTCGACATTTCTCTCTTTTGAACTGCGACTGAAATGTCAACTCTTAACCCTATACTATTCAAATTTTTTTTTTTTTAATAAAAATTTTCAATTGTGAGCTGTGCGACTGATTTTAAATACATAATAAAATGAAAAGGAATTACGAGTGGTGCGTTGTGTTTGTCAAAAGCCTGGACAACAAACTTGTGCGTTATTTTAAACCTTCAAATTGTCAAGAGAAGCGACAACGGTGGGCAAATTGCTGCGATGTTTCATTAGGAGACTCTTCACGTGTGGACGTGACTTTATTTGTTGTCTATCGCAGCCGAGTATTTCTAAGTGGACGCGTTTGGTCCCAGGTGCAGGATTTATCATACCGAATATGAAAAGAAAATCTCCCTTTCATATACATATGTACATGGATAGGCCAAATTTCAAAGAATTTCAAATTTCTGATAAAACCTAAACCAGTATTCTTTGTGGACATAAAGAAACTGAAGGTAATTTTTAATAAATTTAATGGAAACGAAATTTCGAATAACAAAAATTTAATAGCTAAATTATTGAAGTTAAGATCTGATGTAAATTTAGAAGAATCAAACTTTTTTTAATGTCTAATATACTTTAGAATTAAGTATTTGAATAAAAAAATAAATGCTCAAAAACATTGGGATAGTAAAAGCAAGAAAATTGTTAAAACGATTTTATAAATGAGTGCGTTTCATTTAGTGTGTAATTTTGTGTAAGAATGCATTTCCACATTTACATTAAACAGAAAATTCAATAAATAAAATGAAGCTGATTCTAATGAGATCTTAAATATATTCATATTTACAAAAACTTTCATTTCAAAGATGTTGAGTTCTATCAAATATGGTAAATGCATAACAAAAGGTTAATTTCTTTGTTTACATTTTTTGACATTACAGTCAGGTATGAGAGAGCTCGACTGAATTGTCACTTCTACCTTGTTGAACATGCCTTGGTTTTGGCAAAGAACAATTTGGGAACTAAAGTCTAAGGACCTTTCGGACAGAGAATGAATCGAAAACAAATCTTCTCTGAATTATTCGCGAGGAATGGAGGCGAGAAAAATGTATTTCACAAAACCTTCATTAATTTGAAATATTTGAATATTAAAATTAATAAAAAAAAAGAACTGAAAGATAATTATGTACATTAGGTCAACGAAATACTTAAGACACGAACTGATTCCCTGATGTCGTACGCTGATGACTGCTAGATCTTGGTGTCAGGGAATGGAATTGATTACCTCTGCTCAAAAGTAAACGGCTATCTCTCCAGCTTTTCTCGCTTCTTCGATGCAAGGAGCCTAACACTCTCCCTCAACGGCGACCCTCTTCACCACCTAGACGAAGGTGGTAAGGCTAGAATTAGGCATTCACGTCGATGGCACACCAATACCGACAGTAAATAACCCGAAAATTTTAGGGGTCACCTTTGATAGCCTGCTCTCCTTCTCCACGCACACAATCGCAGTTGTCAGCAAAGTACAGAGCCGCAACAAGGTCCGCAAGTCGCTTGCCGGCAGCACCTGGGGCAAAGACAACGAAACATAGCTTGCAACATACAACGCAATTGGCCGGCCGGTTCTAAATTATGCAGCACCAGTTTGGTCGCCGGGGACTAGTTGGACGCAGTGGACGAAGCTACAGACTTGTCAGAACGCCGCACTCCGGACAGTGACTGGGTGCCTTCTAATGTCGCCTGAGCACCACCTACACAGCGAGGCCCAAGTGTCCCCCGTAAGCAGTTTCTGGTGGGCTGCCCCAGAAGTGAACAATCCAACAGACCACTGCTAGAGGAGAGGCCTCCGCCCAGGCACGTCAGGGGGCACCTATTCGTGTGCAACGACGCAGTCCAGAAATACGTAGATCAACCACTGGACCCGACGACGTACAGACGAGCGATCAAGGACATTCATAAGAAATCGGTCGCTACCTACCACGACTCCCGGCCTATGAATGCCGTGATCGGAGCCCAATCACCACCTGCATAAGTGACGGAGCTTCAACTGCCAAGAGAGACCCGCGTTACCCTGGCTCAGTTATGGTCTGGATATTGTAGTCGCCTCAACAGCTACCTGTACAGACTCGACCAAAATATCCGCAATGAGTGCCCGGCATGTGGAGACTACCCACACGACACCAACCACCTCTTTACATGCCAGCTCAATCCTACTCAACTGACACCCCTCTCCCTTTGCTCCGACCACACAAAATGTAACAGTCATTTGTTAATCGATGGCAGTTGACGGGAGAAGTATCGCATTTGCAGTCACTGACTTTTCAAACTGCCCTCGTATTTCGAACCATTTTCTTTTATTTTAATGTATGAATATTTCGCTTTTGACATAATGCTGCATGTACTCCATTTCATCAGCGTTGAAATTAAGAAACAAGCACTATTTTACTTAAGTTTAATTAAAGTAATGTGTTTTACATATTTACCTTATGTGTTGCAAATAGTATTGGAGAACAAAAGTTTGATATTTTTCAAATTAAAATTTATGCCAAAAATCTTAACAGTTCTTATTCACAACAACACGAAAACCCGAAGAACAAAAACAAAGAAACACCATTTTCGTTGTCGTAATTTGTGTATCTTAGTTTGAAAATTTACACAAATTAACTGTTTTCTTACCACAGTGCATCGCTAGATTCGTTTTATAAATACTAAAATATTAAATGAAAAGTGTTAAATACTAATACATTTGTGTATTGTATTTATTATCAAAATTAAATTTTAGGGCGCCACAATCAAAACGGATGAAGAAACTGGCAAAATAATTATTGCGCGTATCATGCATGGCGGTGCTGCCGATCGTTCTGGACTGATACACGTTGGCGATGAGGTGATCGAGGTGAATGGCATTAATGTGGAAGGCAAAACACCAGGGGATGTGCTGAGTATTTTGGTGTGCAAAAATGTGAAGATTATTGTTTTTTCGCACAAAATTAATAAATTATTTTTTACACTGTCAAATCATAGCAAAATTCCGAAGGTACGATCACTTTCAAGTTGGTGCCGTCAGATGGCAAGGGTGGCCAGCGCGAGTCTAAGGTGCGTGTGCGCGCGCACTTTGACTACAATCCAGACACGGATCCTTATATACCTTGCAAGGAGGCCGGACTGGCGTTTCAACGTGGCGATATTTTGCATATTGTATCGCAGGTAAACCTTGAGTGATCGTGTGTACATTAGGGTGGTCAAAAAAAAAATTTAAAATATTAAGCTCGCACCCGCTAGGAATTTTGTAAATCCATATATAGAATGTCTGCATTTTTTTGTAAAAAAAATATATATATATTTAGAAATGCCTCAAAGCCCATGAAGTTTTCCATGTAAAAACACTTTTTCGAAAAAATGGTACCCAATTCTGGAAAATTAATATTTGTCGTTATTATTTAAAAATGGCTAAATAAACAATTGGGCGTTATTACTGGAGTAGTCCGATCGAAAAATATTGGACCTCATTTATTAAAAGTGAGCTTAAGCTCCGACTAAATTTTCAGTACGAATTCTTGAGCTTGAGCTCATTCCATTAGTGCAAAAATTGAGTATGAGCTTAAGCTCACTTTTTATGCTGAAGCCCATTGATTTTGAATAATTCTATACCATTTCTACGAAAAAGTATTATTTCCTCATATAAAATACCTGGAAAACTTCATGGGCTTTGAGGCAGTCATAAATATATATATATTTTTTTTAACAAAAAACTACGCACATTCTCTATCCCATTTAGCAAAAAATCCTAGGGTGTGAGCACATTTTAAACATTCCCCCCCCCCGCATATATTTTTGGACCACCCTAGTGAACATATGTACATAAATGGTCAATTACCTAGACAACATTGCCTTTTAATTATTAAGTTATTGCATTTTTTTAATTTTCATCAACATGTATTCTATTGCAGGACGATGCTTATTGGTGGCAAGCTCGCAAAGAGTCTGAACGCACTGCCCGCGCTGGTCTGATACCCAGTCGCGCGCTGCAAGAGCGGCGTATTATGCATGAACGTTCACAATTGGAGGCGAATGATGCCGACTCAAAGAGTGAGTTTGTAAATCAAGATTTTATTGCATTGTATATTAGGATGGTCCTCAAAAATATCAACATCACAGGACAACCATTAAATTTTTTTCTGCGTATAAAATAAAAAAGTCACTAAGTAAAACATTGTGAAAATAGGGCTTGCTCCAGGGTTTTTAAAAATTTAATTTTCCGACCGCAAAAATTCGACAAAGTTTTGACTTTGACCACCTACAATGCAGCTAGTTTATGAATTTATATGAATAAGCTTCAATGATCAATATATAAAATTTTTTAGATTTCAAGTAAAAATTTTGTCGAATTTTTGCGATATTAAAAACGATTTAAAATTTTTAATGCCTATGCAGCAACCTCTCAAAATTTGTTGAAAATTTTGAAAATTTCGACCTGGGTTCGCCCTAATTTCCATACACATAAACTAATTAATTAAACTGCATTTTATGGATTTATTCATTTTAAAGCAAATTTTTACTAAATGTTCAAAATAATTATAACTATGTTTGCTTTGCATGTCTATGTGTGCGTGTGTATCCGCATTTCACTTACCGCCATTTTCCCTCATCATCAACGCCTGCATCATCACTCACCATTGATTTGGCTTCTGAATTTCAATAAAATAAAATAAAAAATTGAATACCAAAACTAACGCATCAACTTCAAATAACTTTGCATCAGAGGGCTCTTGCGCTTCCATATGCACCACCCCGCCCGGTACACCCATATTGCATACTAGCAGTAGCACCACCTCATGTCGCCAGCCTAAAACTAAAAAGATTATGTACGATTTGACAGAAAACGATGACTTTGATCGTGAAATGATCGCCACATATGAAGAGGTATCCAAATTATATCCACGTCCGGGCGTTTACCGTCCTGTAGTGTTGATCGGCGCACCAGGCGTTGGTCGCAACGAGCTGAGGCGTCGCTTAGTGGCGCGTGATCCGGAAAAGTTTCGCAGCCCAGTGCCATGTAATTATAATTTGCCAGAAAGCCATTAAATACTGATATTCCCTAATCTATCCGTTTGTTCTTTTTTTTTCAGATACTACACGTCCGATACGTACCGGCGAGGTAGCTGGTCGCGAATATATATTTGTGGCTCGCGAAAAGATGGAAGCGGATATAGCTGCGGGCAAATTTATCGAGCATGGCGAATATAAGGGCCACTTATATGGCACCTCTGGTGAAAGTGTGAAATCGATTGTGAATGCCGGCTGTGTCTGTGTGCTGAGTCCACACTATCAAGCTATCAAGGCATTACGCACCGTACAAACGAAGCCCTTCATTATCCATATAAAACCACCGGAATTCGATGTCTTGAAGAAGACACGCACTGAGGCGAGAGCCAAGTCGACGTTTGATGAGAGCAATGCTCGAGGTTTTACGGTAAGCCAGCACAATGCAGTCATGAAAGGATGATCAGGGCCCCAATCGCCGCAACCATGATCGAAAGGTTACTCGTTTCGATTGAAATTAAATGAATGACAGCTGTTTTCTTTCCATATGTAAATTTAGAAATTTTACTCTCAAAATGAAATTTCGAAACGCGGGTGCCATTATTGAAATTCTGTCCCCAAGCAATCGCTTATTAAATTCGCCATTCATACTACAAATAACAGGGGGGAAGCAAATTAACCTTAGTATCGGGTTTCGATATAAATTTTTTTTTTCAATACCTACTCATTACTTGGTTCAAAAACATCGATACCAAAATTACTTGGTATTGAAGGAAAAGTATCGAGTATGTACTTGTATTTACTCGTATCATTTCATTCCGATTTGGTGATTATCAGATACATCCATATATAGTAGTTTTTGAGACTCAATTCTCCCAAAAAGTTCTTGCTAGACTCTTTCCAATTTGAGAACTCAGATATTTCCTCTCGGTTGATTTTGAAGTCTTATACTTGGACTACAATGAACAGTATGTAGTCTGAAGGCAGTTTTCTGTACTCTATGGTGCAACATTACTTCGCTCAATTTAGTCCTCTGATAGAGGATACTTGGAAACTTACCTCTGACATTTTTTACTACATATATAGGCCATGCACGTACCACTGAGAGCGAATACCGTTGCCAGAGAAAATTTGTATGCCTCTAGAGAAGATTTGACACTACCATACACCTCTCTGCTCGGGTCCAGTTTTGTTTGCAGTTTGCAATTGAAGCAGCTTTGATACTTTAATACTTTACTACTTTCTGAGTGCTAAAGGACTCCTAACAAAAGTCGTTAATCGAATTGAGATTCAACTGCTATATCAAATCCTTAGTTTCTCGTCCTTACTTAAAACAGCGTAGTGACAATAGTCTCATCTTAAGGCCTTTAGTTTTTATAAGAATTAATAACTACTCTCCAAAGAAACAAAAATGTCAGAAGGACGTTTCTATATCAAAGAGACGATATGTATGTCCCTTTATGTATAAATGAGCTTGAAACATACGGCTTGTATTCGCATAAGGGCTAGCTTTTAAGCTATTTTAGAAAAAATGCATCCTATCTTCTATCTTCAGCGGTAAACAGATTTTAATTGAATTAATAATAAACATTATTTTTCAGTGAAACTCCCATTTATATTTTGTATGTGCTTTTTTATTTAGTTGAAATACAAGTCAAATCGTTGTATTTTTATAATTTAGGACGAAGAATTCAACGATATGATCAAATCAGCTGAACGCATTGATTTCCTCTACGGCCACTTCTTCGATGAAGTCATCGTGAATGGCGAACTATTGACGGCCTTCGAACAGCTAATGAACACAGTGCAACGCATAGAGAATGAGCCACTGTGGGCACCCGCTGCGTGGGTACAATAGAATGGCTGACTGGCTGTGCAACAAAGCGCGAAACAACCAGAAAAAAGACAAACACTGCTGATGAATAAAAAAAAATAATAATGTTAAAAATGCCAAAAACTAGTAAAAACAAAAGGAGTACATACATATGTAGCTACTTAGAAACACTCATTCATACATACAAACTTACAAACAAACAAAACTTATTTTTAAAACTAAGTAAGGGCGTATGTGAATCGGTAACAAAGTTCTATGGGGAAAGGTGCTGAATAAAATTTTTACTATGGTGAGACAGTTTTGCCAATCTGCTCTGTGAAATGAAATCTTTCTCGACAGCAGTAAATTTTTGATAACCGCAGATTTATGCGGTATAAAATATTACAAATTGAAATGAAATTAATATTTTAAGAAAACAGCTACCATTGTTGATTGCAATTCATCAATTTAAGCTTTTATTTACACACATCAACAATCTTTGCTATTGTCAAAATTTTCTATGCATTTGTTAAAAATACACTAGCCTCATAAGCTACTGAAATTTTATTCACCTCAAAAAGTCAGTACCAATTTGTACTGGAACCTGCAAATTTTTACAGGAAAAGTATATGATAACCCAAAAAATTTGCAAGAGAGCACTGAATCGAGAGCGTAGTAACACGGGAGAGCTGAAAATTTTTGCTAGAGAATTTTTTACTAGCAGAAATTAGCTAGCAGAAGAACAACAAGAAATGTCAAAATCCGCCATTTGTTGACTTGGTTACAAGTAAGCAAAATTAAAATGACTGGAAATCAGAATATGGATGATGTACAGGACTGTGTAAGTGCTTGTATGTATGTATAGCAAAGAGTGCAACAACTGTTCACTTGCAAGTTTTTACCAGTTTTGTGTTCAATGACTTTTTCTGCTGGTTTTCTCTTCTTCTCAATTTTACGCTATATTTTGATTTTACGCTCTCGCTGCAATTATTTACTGGAAAAGTTACTATACACACCTTTTGTTACCGATTCACACACGCTCTAAATAAAGAAAAAATGAAGATAAGTAATGAATTTGACAATGTAAACACCAAGAAATTTATTGTTAAAGATTTTTGTTTTCGAATTTAGGAGTAAGCGAAAAATAAGTGAAAATTGTTGGTTTTCGAGTTTGGGTAGTGAGATTTAAAACTGATAACTTGTTAAAGAAAGAAAAGTAGCTGTTAACTACTTATTGCATACCACATATGTACATGAATACATATATGAAAAACTTATGTACATACTTGCATACAATACTTATATAAATATGTATATTCCAATATGAAATTACTGATGTACAATATTTTGTAGTAAAGTGTTCTCCTTGACAGTTAATAAAATACCCGAACTCATTTTTTACGGTATCAAAAGAAACAGAAATACATATAAACTCCAAAAAAAAAACAACTACATCCTTAGAAACAAACTTGCCAACTGCATAGAATTTTGCGACTTCTAACAAACCGAAGAAGAACAATATTGCCAGATACAAAAATCATAACACAAACTTCATACAAAATATACTACCGATTTTGAGGATTTTCGCTGAATTTTTCGTCGATGTAGTTAAAAAAAATTCTAAATCTGCAAAGAAGAAAGTGGGAATTTAAAATAAAATTTATAGAATTTATGTAAAAATGGGAATTTATTTGACGCTAAAATATATAAATTTTTAAAAGTTAATTTATAAATTTAAGCACTTTTGCCATTGTCTAGAAATATCACATTTCTTAAATGACGTGCTAATTTAACATTTTGCTAAACCTAAATCTTTCCACTTATTATATGTATTAAAATGTATGTATTAGCTTTATTCTGTTAACTGTTGAAATATTTAGCTATAATTTTTAACTGCCGCTATCGATTTTTAATATTGAAATGAACTAACAGTGCAATGTATGAAGCCATCAAGAAAAAATTATTTTCATTTAATTATACCTTTTAAAATTTGAATATTTTCTAAAAACCACGCTTTTCGTTTTTCCATTTGTTAATTTTTTTTATTATTAAAAACACTTAAAACATGAAAAAATTAACATATTTCTTCATGGTGAAATTATACCAGGTGTGTATTTAGAGCAAGAACAAAAATTTAACACTTTATTTATTATTAAAAAATTTACCATTAAAAATTTCAATAAGATAGACGAATGTCGAGAAAATAAAGCGGGGAAGCTGTTTATAATTTCACCATGATATTTCTTTTCTTGTTTATTCAATAACATAAAAAGTACCTTTTGCATGCAAGCGATAACAATGAAAAGAAAACAATAATGAAAAATTTGAAAATTCAAAAATTTGTGTATGTATTACCTAAAAATATTAAGCAAATAAATGTAATTGAATAAATAAATAATTAAATTTTCAATATAACAGAATTGTCCAAGGAAATAAAAAACTAAAAATATATATTTATAATATATAAAATAAAATTAAATGAATATAAATACTGTAATTATGTATTGTACTTAAAATTCAAAATGCATATTCTTACATTTTATTGTAATTAAATGTTATCAATACGAAAATGTTGAAATAAAAATAATTAATAAAATACAAAAAAAAACACACAAAACTTTAATAGAATTGCAGAAAAATTTCAGTGCATAGTTAATTTTGTACATTAGGATGCCACAACAAAAAAGTCGACGGCGCACACTGTGCCTTTTTTCAATTTTAGCGTGCCAAAAGACCAAAATAAAATGATTTCAGATGGCCGTGATTTTTGACATTTTGGCTGACAAATATCCGGCTAGTAAGTCCATCTAATAAATTCATAAGAAAAAATAACAACAACAAAAATAGTCGGCGCCTTTTATGCCTCNGTTTTTTTTTTTTTTTTTTTTTTTTTTCCTTTATTCATTGGGTATACGTATACAATAATACATATGCATTTTAAGAAACGAACATAACATTTTCTCACCCTTTGCATTTAATTTAGAATCGAGCACGAAAAGAGAAAGGGGCACTCAAAAGGCAGCAATTTTTGGTAGAAACGAAATCACCATAAGATTAAGACAAGTAATTTTTAGCAAAAAAAAACCGACTTCAACTCTCATATAAAAAAAAAAATATATATATATATATCTCATGATCCACTAATCGGATCTTAACCAGATTAGTATGGGACCACCTCTGAGACACTACCTTTCCGATGCAAAAAGAATTATCGAAATCGGTTGACGTGGTCCAAAGTTATGCGGTAACATACATAAAAAAAAAAAAAATAATAATATTCCGACGAACTGATAACCTCCTCCTTTTTTGGAAGTCGGTTAATAAAGATGACGATGTGGTGTTATTAAAGAGAAACTTATATCCATATCTCTGTCACGAGCAGTTAAAAAGTTGACAAGACGAATCAAATCGCAAATAAAAATTATTTTTAACCGACTTCCAAAAAAGGAGGTTATCAGTTCGTCGGAATATTTTATTTTATTTTTTTTATGTATGTTACCGCATAACTTTGGACCGCGTCAACCGATTTCGATAATTTTGCAACGGAAAGGTAGCGTCTCAGAGGTGGTCCCATACTAATTTGGTTTAGATCCGCTCATTGAATCATGAAATATATAGATATATATATTTTTTTTAAGTCGGTTTTTTTTTTTTGCTAAAAATTACTTGTTTTTTTTTCAACTTGGCCCAAGAGAAATCTGAAATGTGCTACTCTTCGACGCGAATAATGAAATGTGCTACTCTTCGTAGGGACCGACGATATGTACGATGGATCCTAGGGCCTAGGCTATAAACTTCTGTTATAAAACTGTTCGTATACGCATGTCTTCTTTTGCAATTTAAAGTCGAAGTTAAAGGTCCCTCATGCTGAAATATGCAACGTCTACATAGATATAAAGGAGGTGGATGCTCGGATAATCTAGGAAAGTATTGCGGAGCGACAGGATTTTTAGCAACTTCACACTTGCACCCTCTTATAATAAAAAATTCGAATTAAAAGTTTTGATATTTTCGATTTTATTTTATTTTTTTGTTATTTTTAATTTTTGTACAAAATTTGAAACTTTATTATATTTAATTTTTGTTAGATAATGAGCTACATATAAGTACTTTTGAGTTAAAGGTTGTGAAATGGGCAACCACTATTTCGAAGGGAGAGCTTTTTTTGTGCAATTATCTGTTAATGATTAACAACGATAAAAGAAAAATACAAGAGTTATCAAGAGTTTGTTTTATCGCGATTGGATATATCGATTCTGCTTGCTTTTTAAACAGTTAAGAGTGATGATGTTTTCTTTCCATTTTTGTTTTTTATTTAGTCATAAAATTTTTTATTTAATAATAAAAGTCATTACAATTTTTGTAAATATTATTGACATCTCAATGACTTTAAAACCGCGTACGAATGATGGTGTTTTCTTCCCATAATCGATATTATCAATCGCGAGAAAACGAATAAAATCTAAAAAAGCGAGTTTCGAAAAAGTTATGAAACTTGTATTTTTGTTTTATCGTTGAGAGGCATAAACAGATACTTGCACAAAAAAAGCTCGACCTTCAAAAAAATGGTGGCCCACTTCACAAATTTTTACTCTTTTATAAATAAACAAGCAGTTTTTATGAATATATGGAGTTTAAGTACAAAACTAATTATTTGTTATTGAAGTAATAAAAAACGCCTAGAAGGCTCTAATTTCCATTAAAATGCAATGCTTTCTTAATAAGGCCAGTCAACAAAAACTGAAAATTTTAATAAAAAAAATTATTCAATTTCGTTAGTAACGATAGTGTAAAGTGAAACTAACGAAAATATCGACAACTCTACACTTCTGTGCGTCGAATAGATAACCTCCGCCTTTTTTAAAGTCGTTATTAATCGAATATAATAATAATATAGTTAATTAATAAAACGGAATTTTTCAGAAATGAAAACGGTAAATTTTATTAATACCCGTGAATGCGACTAGTATAAAAAGTTCAGTTTCGCCCGATCTTAGATTTCTTTGGTTGTTACGAATATTTTTCTTTGAGATAACAAACAATAAACTATTGCGGACAAAATGCTCTCTTATCTTTTTTTTACTCAAATGCGTACTCACATACTTATGTATATATATATATATATGTATATGTGTGTGTAGTATCATACATATATAAATCCATATACTAACTGATCCCAG